TTTACTAAAACTCATATTTATTTTGGTCATTTTACAACCAAACCTACTTTTACTCAACCATAATCCAAACAATCTTTTACCAATCTCACTTTTGCAAACTAACTTTTCTGAACTCTAATCCAAACACAATTCAGTTTATCCAATTTAACTTTTACCAACTTCACTTTCCCATAAGCTACTTTTTCAATAAGCTACTTTTCCAATCGTTCATCCAAACGGACCCTTAATGTCACAGGGATCATGACTTTTGGGTTTTAATTATCCCTTATATTAGTAAGAAAAGTTAATCTGTTTAATATTATTCTTCATATTAATAGTAAAATTAGGTTTAGCAGACACTAAAGTAGGTTTTCAAATTTATGTCTGTAGATAGACAAAAAATGCCAGCACGATGAAGTCTACGTCTACGAAAAACATATTTAATTCACATATACGGAACAAATTAACTTAATTATTTATAAAAAAAAATATGTGCTGAATGCTTCTATTTCAAATTATTGAAATTAGAAACTTTTTCGTGTAGAATTAAATATACATATTTGTGAGTAATTCGTAAGGATAGTTTGAAGAAAAATAATAAATATTTGGCCTTTGGTCATAAATATAAACTTTAGTTTACAATACAATTTACATTATGAACTTGATTTTGTATTTAGAACAAGTGGTATGAATATTGTTGTCAAACTCACGAGTTAACTCTCCAAATTTAACATTTTTATGTTTTTAAGTTGTTCAAACATGTTAACTCATTATTAAACTCATGCTAGTTGTAAACTCAATTGAACTTATGAGTTCACTTATTGAGTTTATGTTTTCTTCTTATCACATCGTATCAACTCGTCCTTAAATTCAATTAAATTTTTAATTTAATTATGTTTAATGTCTTTATATATAAATTTCATAAAAATTTATTTATTGAATATGATAAATTAAAATATTGATAGATTTAATTTCAATTATTTACATTTAAAAATATATTTAAATAAAATTATTTTTATTTTATATTTAATTATTTAATTATATATTTTTAATATTAATTTATTAATAGAAGTAATATCATTCGAATTCATTTTCCCTTCCAGTTTGCTTTAATTAATGTGACAACTTTGGGTTTAGGTATGAGTGTCTAAGCAGGTTAGAAGGAAGACCTAGCGTACCTAAATTTGATCCCTACTGCCTATAATGGCTGACCGCATGTTCACAAATCACATTCTCCCTTCCTCTCCCTTTGTTTATTTACTCACACCCCACACGCGCACTTTTTATAAAATATAAATAAATGAATTTAACCTGAACAATTTACATCTAGATTCCGGTCAAAAAAAAAAAAAAGAACAATTTACATCTAGATATAATATACACATAATAGTGAAATTATCATTATTTTTTGGCCAAAGACAAGTGAAATTATTTGAAACATTGCGTAAATGTATGGTTGTATAAATCTAATATTTACTTTGTAATTTCTATTTATACAGTACTTTTTTCCTTTTGCCAACGATATAGAGCAGTATCATTTACATGCAGCAGAAACTAAATTTTTTCCGGTGCTATAATCAAAAAGTAAATTATTTCTAATTAAGTTTACTTTATGCATAAATTTGGAATTTTTTGTTTAAAATTCGATTGAAGAAAATGGAGGAGAGGAGAGGGAAGCAAAGTTTTAATAATTTTCGGTTTTAAAAAAAATTAAAGAAGTAGAATAAAAGTTTTTAATTAATTTTTCTTACTCTTTTATCTTACATCTTTTTTTATTAAAATTTTATAACCCCACTTTGTGAATTTTTTAAATCAAACTTATTAAAAAATTTTATCTCCTTTTTTCCCTATAATTTTGTTGCACCAATCACAAGGTAAGAGATAAAAAATCATGTCACTTGGGTACAATTAAAAAAAAAAAGCACAGGGACTTGGGTTCATTTCAATTGTGCCGGTGCGAATTAAAAAGGAGAGCATTGAAAGGAGGAGAGGGCAAAATAGGAAGGGGAATGGGCCAAAATGCAAAAAAGTCAAGAAAGTCGGTAGAAGTGAGAGGACTCTCATGGGGACACAGTAGTCAATTTAATATTGAAAGCTAAAGTCAGCAACTTCGGCCTCCCTCTGCCCCAAAATCGCAAGACGTGGGTTCACACCCGCCCTCTTCCTCTGACTTTCGCTCCGTACCCTCACTTGCTCTTTTTTTTAGGAGATGTTTGGATAGAAACCAAATTATAGTTTCAGAAATATTTTTACGGGTTACGAAGTAAATATATGGAAGAGTTTGATTTGTTTTGTAAAAAAATGCTTCTAAAACTATAGTTTGAAGGTTGTCAAACACTCCTTTAATGGCTAATTCCACGTTAGGATTTTCATTATCAATATTTGTTATATATAAGAAAAATGTGATTATTCCTCGTCAAAACTCTGCCATCCGTATTTAACACTACTACGCTTTCAAAACTTCAACTCGAGACCTATATTAAGAGATACAACCCCTTATCAGTTAAACTAAGCGTTCGGTAGTTTTAAAATATTCCTTTAATTATATGCATAAAAAATTACTCTTTTTATGTGAAAAAAAATTTAACATGTGTAATAAATAAAAAAATTTAAAAATTAAAAAAAAACAAATTAAAATCTTATATTTAAAATAAAATAAACTTTCTCGCAAGTGCTATTGTAATTTGGTGCAATTAGTATGGTGATTAGTGTAAATTAGGAGTAGCCAGATTGGATGTTGAAAAGTAGGAGAACCGACCAAAGGAGTCAGAGGGAAGCGTACTGTGATTGAGCAAAAGATTCAAGAAATCCGTACACTCTGTGCTGTGCTGGCCAATTCCAATTCCTCATGTTCATGGTGTGAACCCAACAACCATCATCCTGTTCCCACCTTTGTTTTTTCATTTTCTTTTTTCAAAGTATTTAATAAAAATTAAACCATAATTTTAAAAATAATTTTATGATATAGGAAGTAAACATGTGAGAAGAATGTTGTATAGACTTATATAAAAACACTTTTAAAAAGTACTTTCTGGGCTTACCAAACATCCCTCAATCTCTTTTGTTTATTACCTCACCATATTTTTGCTCATGAAAACAATAATATGCTTTATTCTTGTTTTATACTCTTCGGGTTCTTAATATAAGATCTATTTAAATAATTTGATTAGATTAAGAAAGTTAGATAAATTAGTTAATTATAAGAAATATGGTATGTTTTTTCTAAAACACTATAATCATCTTTCTTAATATCTTTTCTCCATCTTTTATTTGATTGTAATTGATGAAGTATTTATATAAGTAATTTAGGAAAAATTAATAAATATAAAAAATAGGCCTTATATTTGGGATCAAAATTAACTCAATAATTAAGTCATATATTGAGGATCGGAATAATATTGCACTGTAGAGTATAGAACATCAACTGGAAATTTTTTTTATTCAAAAGATTGGTGCTTTACTAGATTCCGATTTGAATTTTAGCTTTTCGCACCATACTCCCTCCGTTCCTTATTATAAGAGACATTTGATGCTTATGGCATGTTTCTATATATAAGAGACACTTACAAATTGTCTCTACTTTTTTGTGTTGATTTACTATCTTACCCATATTTATTATCTCCAACTCACACTCTCTCTCCCTCCCACTTTTCTTTCTTTTAATAATTTAATTATTCTCTCTCACGCTCTCTCTCCTTATTAATGAGGGCATTTTTAGAAAAAAAATTATACTTTTTACACATTAATTGTTCTTAACTAATTTTAACTATTTTTTTGATCAACGTATTTCGGTTATTTGTCTCTTATAATAAGAAACGGAGGGAGTATTATTTACATGCCATAAATTATATAATTTACTCCAAATTCTAATTATTATCAATTTCAATTCCATATATTGAATTTTAAATTTGTAGTAAATGATATTGTTCCCAATATTGAGGACCAACCTGATTTTTTGTTTTAAAAAAAGTGATTATATGAAATCCAGTCATTTTTTGGGCTCCACTTATTAAATAGCAGTATTAAATTTTCTTTATCATGTCTAATACATGATGCTTTGAAATTTGGGGGGGAAGGGCAAGATATTATTAAATTCAAATAAAATGCACTGTTTGACCAAGAAAAGACTCAAATGCACCATTAAGATTTTATTGATTTGTATAAAGATGTTATAGCTGTACCTCGTTTTCTTATCTTTCTTTTTTTGGTTTACATCTTGTCCATTTCATTTATGCCTAAAATCCAAAATATGAGGCTTTTGCTCTGATCCAACCCTTTCGCATAAAAATGCTAGCAAGTTAATAAAGTCTCTCGTATAAATACAGCAATTAAGACTTCATTATAATGAGTTATGCAGCTATTTCCCCCAATCATCCCCCAAAAAAAAAAAAAAAGTGACTCTGCGTGGTGCTTATATAGATTTAAGGGAAAATTAATATTTTACTTTTTCAATTTTTGATTCATTTATGACTCAGTTTTTCAATTATAACTTGATGCTTCAACTTGTTAACTCATCTGAAACTCACTCAAGAAGAATCATATATCAAAAGGATTAAATTATTAAATGAAAAAAAATTTAAAAGCTGAGTTTCAAATGAATTTTCCAAATGATTAAAGGTTGAAGGACTGAATTACGTCAAATCATAACTGAGAGGCTGAGTTATAAGAAAATTAAAAATTAAAGGATCAAAAAATTTATTTTTCCTAGATTTAATATCCCATTTATTCTAGCCCCGGGGAACTCAGCATCATTGGTGCTTGGAAAACTCTATGACCCTTTGTAAAAAAAGGCTAATCCAAACACCCGCTAATTTTCCATGATGGCCTAATTTTTGTTGAGAAAAGTGTCCTTAGATGTAATTTACACAGGAGGCAGAGATCCTTCTCTTAATAAGCAGTTAAGTTCTAAGTCTTCACTTTCATTCTCAACTCATTTACTCCTCCGGGCTTCACCAAGTACCAGTTCCGTTCTTCTTGGTTCCTCCGGATTTACTCAAGGCTGCGTTTGGAAGATTGGAAATATGGCTGAACAAGAAGCAGCAGCGAAATCAGGATGCTTCTCTCGCTTCTTTCGCCTCCTTCTCTGTGCTCACTCCACCAATGCTCCTCCTATCCACCCCTCCGATCACCTCCCTCCTCCCCAAACACTGCCTTCCCTCCCAGACAAGTCTAGTCCCGTTCCTCCTACCCCTGGTCTAGTCGCCAGGCTCATGGGCTTAGACTCGCTCCCAAACAACCCCCGGGTCTCCATCCGGGTCGCGCCCGACTCGGTTCCCCGAAGCAAGTCCGTTAACTTCATCGATTACTTGCTCCGGTTTGATCCCGCCCACCAAGAGCAAGAAGGCAGCCATCGTCGCGTCAGAACGTCGTCGTTTCGTGAGGTTCCTGTGTTGTCGTCGTCTCCCGCGACGTCGCTGTCGTTGCAGCCGGAGAAGGACGACGACGTTGTCGTTTTCTTGTGGGACGATGTTGACATGGCTGCTCGCGAATCGAGGCCCGGTGGAGTTGTTCGGCACAGGTCGAAGAAACAGGAGGTGGGTTTGCAAGAATCGAAGAAACAGAGGAAGGAGAAGAATAATGAAGGGACGAAGAAGAAGAAGAAGAAAATTTCGAAGCTGAAGAATGAGCCTAGAAGAAGAGTCTCTGTTTCGACAAGTGCAAGCAGAGATTATGGGTCTGGTAGCTTGAGTCCAAGAATGAGGAAGGAAGAGTTTGTTGATGAACCCAGATTCAGAAAGAAGGTCAGAAGCAGGAAGTCGCCGAAGAAGATGCAGAATGAGAGATGCTTTGAAGATCTCAGCCCTGTTTCAGTTTTAGACGTTGGCGACGACGAAGAATTTCCATTGCAGAGCAAAACCAACTTTACAGGTTTGATCTCTGAATTTCCAACAAGGGAAAAAAAATAGAGAATTGCGTAGAATAATTATTATTTATATAAATTAAAAGTTCATAATGTGGCCCTTGATAAGTAAAATCAGTTTCAGCCATCACTTTCCGCGTTAATTATAAAAATGAGTTATGCCTAAGTTTAACAAAATTCGTTTTATAAAAAGTATTTTGCACGTTATGAAGGGAAAGTTGTGTAATTAAATATTACATAATGTAAGAAAAATTGCTGGAAAGTCCCTCCCTATTTTGGATTTTTTTTTTTTTTTGCTTAAAATGATTTGAATTGAGTGGGTGTAACTTATTTTACAGATATAATTTTTTTTCAACTATATGCAACATATTATGTGCTGATTTGCACAGAATTAAAGGTGCATTACATACAACTTATAAAAATGAATTATACCCACTAAAAATGGGTTACACTTAAGTCTTTCAACTAATTGAGTTCAAGTATCTTTTGACAGTAAAAATTTAAAGAGAAAATTTTTAGCAGTCTTTTCATAGTGTAATTTAATAGTAGAGTGAACTAGTTAAAACCAACAACATGACGTGAACCATGTGGTTTTATGGCTAATCTGGAGGGCTTATCTCAAACTTTTTGCAGATGAAACAAAGGGAATCGCCTCAAAGTCAAAGAGAGAATCTTCAGCTGAGAGATGTTTGTCTGGAGGCAAAAGCAACCATAAAAGTGAAACAGAGGAATGCTCAGAATTAATGGCCAAAATTCTCAAATTAACAGAAAACGATGTGCAAATGTTTGATTGTGTCGGGCGGAAGAAGGGCGTGTTTGGGAGTGATTGTTTTGAGGAAATCCCTTTGCTTCTCGAGGATAAAATCTTCGACCTCTTGCTGCGTGAGGTCGTCCACGAACTTTTAACACACTGATTACGACAATTTTTGTCTTCATGACCTTATGCATGTATATTATAACTAGGTAGTTTTACTATATTTCCCCTTCCATATGTACATGTTGTAGGCCAACCCATGAGATGTTTCTATATGGAAATTAATTAGGTCTAACAAACAACTGAGATTTGAATTCTTATTAGAGAAGGTGGTCGCATCTAATGTCAAATCGTGCCTTAAATAAAATGACCTTGGATAAAAGAAAGACTACAGATAAGGGGAAAAGGGTGGAAATGAGTTATGTATGCTGTTGACAACAGATTTATAAGCTTTCTTTCAAGATCCTTTCTAGCCTTAATGAGTCTTTGTCACTGAATTTATTAAAATTTTCTTACAAACAATGATAAATAAGGAGGAGAAGTTACAGTAGTTTTGTTCAATTAAAAAAAAAACAAACAGCTAAAACTCTTGAATGAATTTGATCGACAAACTTCAACTCTGTGTAGGTTTCTTGTATATATATAGGGTCAAAGTTTAGCTTCGAGTTCCCACGTGGTTTTTTTTTTTTGGGCCAATTAAAATAGTAGCTCAAACTCTTGAATGATTTCGATGAACTAGTGCAATCAAGTTTGTGTTGGCTTCGTACAGGTAGGTATAGGGTCCAGGTTTCAGTTTCAAGTTCCAACATGATTTCTCAGCTCACAGAGATCAAACGAGAAATACCAAGTTATGAGTCACTCCTTTGATCCTATTTCTATTTATAGAATAGAAAGAAAAGATAATTTTTAGTCTTATTTATAGGATACTGAGAGAAATTTTTTGAATAAATGTATAATTTTACTCTTAATTTATTATTGTGTTGACTTTGTTCATGTGAGATATAATGTATATTAAATAAGGATAAAATTGGAAAGTCATTAAATCTTAAATGAGAGTTAATAAAATTTAAAGTTTTTATTGGTCCATGTGAAATATGATGAAAGTGCTTTATAAATAGGACCAGAGGAGTATAAATTAGGAAATCTCATAAATATTGTGAAATTTATAAGTATAACGGGTTCTCCCTCCTAATAGATTAGATTTTTCTTTTAAGTTTGTACGCATCACATTAGCATTTTTATTAAGAGCATGCTATCCATAGAGAGGGTTACCTACAGAGAACTTTGACTGGTAGGAGGCCGTTGTATGCTAATCACGTACTAGAGGTTGTCAAAAACAGGAAATGAAAGCAGATAAATGATGAGAGGAAGCAAGTGGGAAAAGAATTCCCAGAAAAAGGCTTCATGAATTAAATCCGCAGGAGGAAGATGATGTTCACACTCTCAAAAAACACAACCCACTAGTTCCATTCAATAAATAGCCAGGGCCCTTCCTATCATCACTAGGCACTCTGATCTTATAGCATTCCTGTATGGTTTTGTGGGTTGGCCTAAATGTGTTCACACTAATGTCAAATTATAAACTCAAATACACTTATCCCTGTGTTGAATTCTATTATAGGCCAATCATATCAATAAAAATACATAAAATTTTGATTTTTAAATATTCGAATATAATTATATATATAAATATTTTAAGAATTATTTCATAATTTTAATAGACTTTGTGGGCGTATCAGATCCATCAAAACCCAAACATTTGCAGCTTTAGATTTGAAGGTTGATAGGGCAGGGCTATTCTATTCACAACCTAGGCTGGACCATTGGTGTTTTCGACTTGGTCAAAGATTAGAGATCCAGTGCTTGATTAAGCCTAGCCGAAACAGCATTTTTAGGGTTACGTTTGGCCCAATTTTGACCAATCAGCAGGGAGCAAATCCCACACAAAAATCAAATTATCAATTATTGCTATTATCAATCATCCACAGTGTTGCTTTGCCTGTTATCCTGTTCCGCTTCAACTTCTCTCCTGTTCTTTTCATTCCGGCCCCCAGCCCCCAGGTCAAAGAGTATATCGGGTCGGATCATGGTGGATGGGAAAACGGGTCTATGAACTGTTTGAAGCATTTTTTTTGTCTTCATCAAAATACTATAAACAATGAACAAAAATTACCAAAATGTTACTTCTCTGATTCTTAATATAAGACATAATTATTAAGTTAATTTTGGTATTAAATATAAGACATATTTCTTATATTTATCAGTTTTTTTTTTAAAATTACCCACATTAGTAAGTGAGGAAGGAGGATATCAAGAAAGATAATTATGGTGTTTTAGAAAAAACATGTCATATTTCTTATAATTAACTAACTTACCTAATTTTTTTAATATAATGAAATTAGTTAAATAAATTTTATATTAAAGATTAGAAGAGTATATGGTGAGAAATATTTATCAAAGTATTATACTAGAAATTGTTTACGATTTCATTTTTCCTGCCTGCCACCGTGCCTATGACCATCCATGCTTGACATATTTTAATGGAAAAATGAAATCTTTCATAAAAGAAATGATGGGTTGAGGTGTTTAAATATCTCAAAAATATTCACAAAAGAACATCCAGTATTTGAAAAAAAATTTTAGCCCTTATACATCTTGAAAATTTGTTTTTGTAACAAATATATATATTCTTATCATTTTTCACTGTTAAGTTTCATTATTAAATTATGTGGTTTGACCTATATCTTTAACGGTCAAACTTAATATGATTGACAGTTAAAAACAGAAATACTAAAAAATAAAACTTTTTGAATATATTAGAGCCAAAAAAACTTTCAAGTATTAGGTATTTTTTCATGAATACTTTTAAGATATTTAAAGATCTTAACTCAATAATAAATTTAATGTTTTCTCTTATCTCTGTCTATACCACGACATCACCCTATTTGTATATTAAAGTAACTCAGTTTTTATCAACCAATTCCTAAGACACTTATCATTTGACATTTGAGAATCACCACATAATAGTATCTCTAATTTTAAATAGGGAAAACCATATCATAGGCACCTCTACTTTCTCTCAATTTTTAATTTGGTACCTATGTATTTTTTCCTTTTAATTAAACATTTAATTTTATTTTTTTTAGCAACATTAGCTCTTATAACTTTGTTCTATTGGCATTTTTAGTCTCTACATAAGGATTAATGATGTTAATTAAGTAAAATTAAAGATTTAGTTAAGAACAAAAAACACATAGGTACCGAATTAAAAATTAAAAAAAAATACAGATACCTCCAATATAGTTTTTCCTTTTAAATATAATATCTACTTTTATAATACAAATTGCGCTTCTTGTATTATAAAATAAATCTTATACCTAGAACCATATATACTATATTACAACAACGTGAGAAGACATAAAGCTCCTCTAGGTGTATGATGTTGGTTTTGACTAGATAAATCAATCTTCACTGGCATGGTATCTAATCCAATAACATCACACTAGCTATATTAAAATTCTCACATATAGTTATTTAAATCCTTGAATGTTATGGTTATAATTAATATTGTCGTGTCATTATTGTAATTTAATTAAAAAGTATAGTAAGAGTTATGACAGTTGTAGGTCGTTGGATCAACTTTGTCCCTATCGCGTACTATACAAACCATCCCTTTTAACTTAATTTCCTCTTTAATAAAAGGGAAACATAATGGTCCACATAATTGTCTTCATTCAACACTATTCTTTATTAACATCATTTTAGCCCAATCATGTATTCTTTTTATGAGACCAACAAAATTAAAAAAATCATCAACTATTTTTTTTTATTTGAACTCATATAATATCAAATCATATGCTACCTCCGGTCCTAATTATAAGAGCTAGTTGACTAATTTGAGGAGATTAAGAAAATATGTTGAGTTAGTTATTTGCAATAAATAGGTATCGTTTTTCCTAAAATATCTTTGCTAATCAAGTGTATTGGCTAGAATTACTATTCTTAGAAGGACTAATTGTGAAAAAAATTTATAAATATGAGAGACAAAGTGAATTGGGATCTTATATTTAGGATCAAAATAAAAGTCAAACAAGATTTTATATTAAGGACAGGAGGTAGTACTTAATAATACAATAAATCAATAATGATGGTCAATAATGCCTTCTCTCAACTTGCTCACTACTGGCCACTTTTTTGTTTTTTTGAAAAAAAATAAGTAAAGAAAAATGGAAAATGAACTTACTTCCCAGATATGTTTTGGACGATATATAGTCGCCCTATGTGATAATTAAATTAGTGTTCATATGCTCACCGACAAAGTATTTTGTCGTTTAAAGAAAAAATTATTACGGAATCATGCCAATAAATAATTTGTAGAATCTTAGTATCTTACTATTATTGTTGACAATTTCAAGTCCTCAGTATTAAAAATATATAATTCACAGCCATAACTCATAAATTTAATATTATATTCCTAAAGGATGCTATATATGAATTTAGAGTTCATTGTGAACAAAAGTAATAAAATAATGTTTTGCACTTGTTCATGAAATGACTCCTCATGTAGTGGATTCACATAACCAGACTTAGGTTTTCATTCATCCATGTCAGATCTGAATCCAAGCTTCAGATTATTTATCAATGACTGATTCTTCCTTAATTTACCCTTTTTTTTTTAATTTATCAATGACAGATTCAAGTGAATGATTAATTTACTCTCTTTTTTTGGTGTGTATTGGAAAAAAATTGGTTATGTTTTTCGGCCAACTTTTCAATGTAATTTTTTCCTTCGAAATGTTCAAATAATTACAAGTTCATTAATTGAGTTTTTCTTTCCATAATGTATTTTTACAGAAGCTAGATTACATGGGATATCTAATATTTTTGAATTAAAATAGGGTTTGATTTACTGATTTATCGGTCCCACTGGTCTGTTAATTCTTTCTTTTTAAGGTTGAATCCAATCTTTGAAACAGAGAAAAGAAATTTATATGTATATTTATTTGATTTTCTGTTGGTTGTGTAATAAAAATAAAAGTGGAAGTGGAAGCACTTTCGGTAAAGCGATGATTGAAGCAAATGGTCCATCAACCTCAAAACGTTGCTTCTGAATGGAATAGACATTATGATGATGATGAGCATTATCTTCTTAAGTGTTAGGTAATTAGTATTAATTAACTTAATTAATTCTGCTCTTTTCCATCATTTTCTCTGTGTGTGTGTATCTGCACCTACTACCAGAA